TGCTGGGAGGTGTCTCCTAGTCAGGAGGCATGGGGATCAGGTACCCACTTGTGGAGGCAGTCTGTCCCTTTGCAGAACTCAAGTGCTGTGCTGGGAAATCCACTGCTCACTTCAGAACTGGTAGGTAGGAACTTTTACATCTGTTGAATCTGGACCCACAGCTGCCCTTTCCCCCAGGTGCTCTGTCCCAGGGAGATGGTTTTATCTATAAGCCCCTGACTGGAGCTGCTGTCTTTCTTCAGAGATGCCCTGCCCAGAGAGGAGGAACTAGAAAGGCAGTCTGTCTATCGTGACTTTGTGGTGCTGTGGTGGGCTCTGCACAGTTCGAACTTCCTGGCAGCTTTGTTAACACTGTGTGGGGAAAAATCTTTACTCCAGTCTCAGTAATGGCAGATACCCTTCTCCCCACCAAGCTGGAGCATCCCAGATTGACTTCAGGCTACTGTGCTGGCAGTGAGAATTTCAAGCCTGTGGATCTTACCTTGCTGGGCTTTGTGGGGGTGTGATCTGCTGAGCTAGACCATTTGGCTCCCTGGCTTCAGCCCTCTTTCCAGGGGAGTGAAGGCTTCAGCTCCCTTTCCAGGGGAGTGCCTCGCTGGTGTTCCAGGTGCTACTGGGGTATGAAAAACTACTAAAAAACTACTAAAACTACTAAAACTACTGGGGTATGAAAAACTAGCTCAGTGTCTTCCCAAATGGCCATCCAGTTTTGTGCTGGTGAAACCCAGGGCCCTTGTGGTGTAGGGACCCAAGGGAAGCTCCTGGTCTGTTGGTTGCAAAGATCATAGGAAAAGCACAGTATCTTTGTCGGAATGTACCATTCTTCTCGGTACAGTCTCTCATGGCTTCCCTTGGCTAGGGGAGAGAAATCACCTGACCCCTTGTGCTTCCTGGGTGAGGCAGCATCCCATTCTGTTTTGGCTCACTTCTGTGGGCTGCACCCACTGTCTTACTAGTCCCAACGAGATGAGCTGTGTACCTAGCTGGAAATGCAGAAATCACCTGCCTTCTGCATTGATCTTGCTGGGAGCTACAGACTGGAGCTAATCCTATTTGATCATCTTTCCCAGGTTCCCCCAGCTATGTCATTCTGTTCTGTAGTGCTCAGTAGAGCCATATCCTAGGGAGGACAAGTTCTTGGCCACCTGAGTTATCTCAGTAAGGGCAGCATTTTATACTTGCTTCCTATCAGCTCTGGGGGTTATATAAGTGCATGTGGTTTTGGGAAGCTACTATTCATTTACAGAACTGCCTTGAATGGCCAGATAGTCTGTTTCATTAATACCCACTTCTTGTTTGCATGCTTTTATCAGAATACATGCTCTTTATTTTGCTTTTCAAGCATTCTATTTATATGTGACCTTTGTCATTCCAGCGCTGGCCATTTAGCAGATAGTTCCTTCTGCTTAGAACACAAAAGCTCTGCAGAACTTTCTATTCAGATTCCTCTGTTCTCCCAGTGGCCCTTCATGGGACTCTGAGTGTCTAGTTTCTCAATATGAGAATATCAAGAAGTAAAGGAAATCCAAGAAAGAGCAAGGAACTTTTCCTTTGTCCCCTGATGGGAAACTTCACATATTGCCAATTATTTTAAAGTGAGATTTGACCCTAAACAAAACTAAGAATACAAGAAGTTGATGATTGCACTCTCCTACCTTTTGACCTTCTTTGGTTACCCACATCCCTACAACCCATGTTCATTATGATTTCCTTAGCTGTCTTCCACTCCCAGCTTGCTCTTCTGCCTTCTCTGGCAGTGGACAAGATGATTTCCAACTTGGACTTCCACAAGCCCTCAGTTGCATTGTTATATCAATATATTAATCTTACATTGGTATCATAAGGACTGGTAAATAACATAGAACCTTCCCTTAAAAAGTTCTCATTGGACATTATTTTCAGAGACTTTCTAAAAATATTGATTTAATCCAAAAATAGTTTAAATGGAAAATCTTTAATTAGAATATTGAAAATATTTTGAATTTTGGGGACCTTTTGAATTTTTTTGCCATGTGTAGATCTAATAATAAAATCACTTCTAGGAAGCAATTTTAAAGGAATTATCAGACATGTGGAGCAAGATTCATTTGTAGAAATGTTTGTCACCTTTTGTGATAAAGACCCTATTTTTGGAGAAAGCCCTTGACTTTTACAAAATATATATTTCAAGATCTTTGCAACTCTCCAAATTTGCAAATCCCATGATGGCTTATAATTCCTCTCATAAAATGCAGGAAAGTAACTTAAAGATTTAAGTAATCCCTTTAGACTCTTAATTTATATGCTGTTACAATTTATAATGCATTTATAATACCATTAAAATAAATTCTTACTAAAGCACTCACAGAATGTTTCAGAATCATTTTTTCTTGTTTTCGTACAACTTGGGCATATATATGTCACAGATGCAGGTCTTAGGAAAATTTAACATTCTACTTTAATTTATCTAAATATTCTATTTCCTGGCTAAGAAATATTACCTTCATAGACAATTTTTCTTCACTTTTATCAACAGCCGTGTAAATGGGCTTTTATTGAAGGGAGGATGCAGACCATTTAACACAAAGACACAGTTTTGTTTTGTTTTTCTTTCTTCCATCATTTTATTAGAGTGATGGCATACAGAGTAACCACTAGAGCATAACACGGTGAATTTGAGATTTAAATTCCAGGTGCTAGGCCAGTTTCAATCACTAGCTCAGGGACTCCTCCCACACAGCAACTGTACAGCATTCCAGACTCAGACCAACGCCCCAGAGAAACAACAGATAACTGCTTGTCAAGTGCTTGGTGCTCATAGCGTTGCATAGTGAAGAGAGAGAGAATTTGGATTAAAAACCCACTATGCTGACTTTTTAGTTTTCGTTCAGTCATGTCATTTGGAACCATTCTGTGTTTCCCTTATCCATAAAATAGAAATGAAAATCTTCACTTTATAAGTTTATTATAAGGATCAGTGATAATTTAAGTGCCTGGCACAGGGTTGATTCAAGTATCTCTTTTTTTTTTCAACTTTTAAGTTCAGGGATACAAGTGCAGGTTGTACAGGTTTGTTAAACAGGTAAATGCGTGCCATGGTGGTTTGCTGGACAGATCATTTCATCACCTAGGCATTAAGCCTAGCATCCCTTAGTTATTCTTCCTGATGCTCTCTCTCTGTACCCCTGCCAACAGGCTCCAGTGTGTGCTTTGTCCCCCGTGTGTCCATGTGTTCTCATCATTCAGCTCCCACTTATAAGTGAGAACATGCAGTGTTTGCTTTTCTGTTCTTGTGTTAGTTTGCTGAGGATAATGGATTCCAGTCCCATTCATGTCCCAGCAAAGGATATGACCTCATTCCTTCTTATGGCTGCATAGTATTCCATGGTGTATATGTACCACATTTTCTTTATTCAGTCTATCAATCATGGGCATTTAGGTTAATTCCATGTCTTTGCTACTGTGAATAGGGTTGCAACGAACATATGTGTGCATGTATCTTCATAATATAATGATTTATATTCCTTTGGGTATATACCCAGTAATGGGATTATTGGATCAAATGTTATTTCTGCCTCTAGGTCTTTGAGGTTTGCCACACTGTCTTCCACAATGGCTGAACTAATTTACAGTTCCACCAACAGTGTATAAGAGTTTCCACAATGGCTGAACTAATTTACAGTTCCACCAACAGTGTATAAGAGTTTCTTTTTCTCCACAACTTCATCAGCACCTGTTATTTTTTGACCTTTTATTAATAGCCATTCTGATGGGTGTGAGATGGTATCTCATTGTAGTTTTGATTTGTATATCTCCACAGTGATCAGTGATGTTAAGCTTTTTTTCAACTCTTTGTTCACTCCATGTATTCTTCCTTTTAAGAAGTCTGTTCATGTTCTTTGCCCACATTTTAATGGGATTGTTGGTTTTTTTCTCTTGTAAATTTAAGTTCCTTATAGATTCTAGATATTAGACCTTTGTCAGATGGATAGATGGCAAAAATTTTCTCCCATTCTGTAGGTTGTCTGTTCACTCTGATGATAGTTTCTTTAAGTAACTCATTATTATTATGAAAAGAAATATAATCCTGGCAAATAGTATGAAACCTTCCACTGTCAAGCAAAAATTTAAAAAATAAATGCCCCATAATAGGGAAAGTGAAAATAAATTATGCTACATCTATAATCATGGGCTACTGTACAGCCATTCAAAATAAGATTCACAACAGACTTTAATTTGTAGGAGAAATTTGCCTACTTTATATGGTTAAAAACTGCAAGAACAAGAAGTTTATGAACAATATGGTGAATATATCTGTATATAAAAATATACAATAAAGATCTTTCTACAAATTCTAGTTATTTCTGGATGAAGGGACTATTTGATTTTTATTTCATATTGTAAATGTCCCATTGTAAATGTCCATTATATCTATAATAAGTACATATTAGCTTTATACTGAGAAAAAAGTTATTTTAAATTTCTGACACATGGATGGCTATGTTTTCTGCCTGCAGAAAGTACTGGTATTGTTTAAAGTTTACATACTAATTTGACCTTGATACTACACAGATTTATCTGGTCCAAACCAAAATAGGCAAAGCTCTGCACCGGGGTGAATTGGTCTGGCTAGGATGTGATTCTGGATTTCTCAAAAGTGGGAATAATGTGGAAGACAACAATTTGCCTCTTGTAAATTTCATAGATAATGTGATAACAGAATGATAACATTTACAGAAAAACATGATTGCTCATTTTGTTTTAATGCCTACTGCATTTTAGTCCAATCTTGGGCAAACACAAATGTCTCACTGCATAATTGCCATGTTTAGGGTTACAGTTTGAAAATATTCCTAAAACCATTTCTCTGTTTAAATTCATAATGCCGTCTAGTAATGATATTACATATTACATATTACAGTAATATGGCTGTAATAAATAATAAGTGTATTCCTTAAAATGAAATATCTAAATCTAATTTCATTTCACTTACTTTTAATTCTCAATTTTTGTTTTGTCAGGTGAAGTACATGATGACCTAGGTCAGAAGACGGAAGTAACTCAGGTATGGAAGTGATAAAGTTTTATTCTTAGTTTAATTTCAAATTATATGTGCTTTTAAGAAAATGACAAACTTTTAGTGTCCTAATTTCCACTAAGACCAGATGAGATACTTAATGTATAACATTAAAAAAATAGATTAATATGGTTCCAAATTCCTTCTCATCTAGATTCCCCAACCAGAAATTTCCTTCTATTTTTTATTCTTGAGATATTTATGCAGATGCAAGCTATTATATTCCCCCACCTTTTACATAGAGGAGAGATAATCATGTAGGTGGTAGCATAATTTACATACTGTTCTTCAACTTTCTCCACAGCGTGTCTTGGAGATCTTTCTAGAATACTTTTTAAAAAGTACTTTCTCATTCTTTTTAATGGCTGAATGATATTTTGTCATATTGATGTTCCAGAAGTTAATATGAAGAGACACTAATGGACATTTAAGATTTTCAGTATTTTCCTACTAAAGAAAATACAGCACAAATAACTGGGTACATAAGTTATTTCACATGTTAGGGAATATAGCATCTGTTTCTGGAAATGAAATTACTAAATCAAAAGGTATGTGCATTCATAATTTGGTAAATATTGCAAATTGCCTTTTTTAGAATTCATAACAATTTACCTTGACACAAGCAAGTTTAAGAGTGTCTGATTTTTCCCCACTGTCACCAATGCAGTGTTTTACCAAATTTTGTGATTTTTGATGAGATTATATAAAAAATGAGTATAGCAATATTGGTTCTAATTTTAATTTCTCCTATTATAAGTGATGTTGGATGTACTTTCAAATGTTTAAGAGCTTACTGTATTTCTGTAAGTTTCTGGTTCATAATTTTTTACTCATTTTTTTCTATTTGATTGTTAATTTGTTTATTTTTATATTAGGGAAAATAAGTATTTGTGAAATGAGTTTTATGTAATATTAGGGAAAATAAGTATTTGTGAAATGAGTTTTACGTAATATTAGGGAAAATAAGTATTTGTGAAATGAGTTTTACGTATTCTTTTTTCAATTTGTCATTTGTCCCATGATTTTTTTTTCTGGTATTTTTGCTATGAGAAGTACTTTATTTTCATGTAGTTGAGTTTATCACTTTTTCCTCCCTCTGTCACTGAGTTTTATGCCGTAACTATAAAGCACACCATCATTATAGAGTTAATGTTTTGCATTTAAATTTTAGACTCATTTGGATTTTATCCTGGTGTGGCATGTAAAGTATAAGTCCAAATATATGTTTTTCCAGATGACTACTGACTTTACCCATTTACTTAAAAGTCTGTTCTTTTTTTCGCCAATTTGGGATGTTGCCTTTATAACAAGGCAAACTTGTGTACTAGGTCTATTACTGAACTTTTGATGTGTTCCCTTTTCTTTCTATGCATATGTTAGTATCATACTTTTAAAATTATTGACAAAGGCCGGGTGTGGTGGCTTACGCCTGTAATCCCAGCACATTGGGAGGCCAAGGTGGGCAGATCACCTGAGGTCAAGAGTTCGAGACTGGCGTGGCCAACATGGTGAAATCTTGTCTTTACTAAAAGCATAAAAATTAGCTGGGTGTGGTGGCGAACACCTATAGTTCCAGCTACTTAGGAGGCTGAGGCAGCAGATTTGCTTGAACCCGGGAGGCAGAGGTTTCAGAGAACTGAGATCTTACCATTATAACTCCAGACTGGGTGACAGAGTGAGACTCCATCTCAAAATAAAATAAAGTAAAATAATTGCAAGGCTCTGACATTTGGTAAGACTAGTTTTTTTTTTTTCAGTGCTTTCTTTTCCCCTAGATATTCCTTAAACTGTTCTGCTTACTTAACTTTCCTCATTATATTTTTGTTAGAATGATGTTAAATTTATTGAATATCTTATGAAGTATAAATATCCTTATGATGTTGAATCTTTTTATCCAAGAACATAGCATGTATTTAAAGCTACTTAAGTCATATTTTGGGCCTCTTAGAAGCATTTTCAGGTTTTCTGCATATATACCTTGCTCATTGCAAACAATTATTCCTAGGTATGCAGTTAATTTTTTTGGTTATTGTTTCCACCTGGAGTCTTTCTCTCCATTATGACTCTTAATATGAAAGCAATAAATTTGATTGTTAATTTTGTATACCACTATCTTACTATATTTTCTTTTGTTTATAGTAAATTTTAGTCTTTTTCTGTGGGGTTTCCAAGTATATAACCATACTATCTGAAAATAGAGACAGTTTTACCCATCATTCCATCTCTTTTACTTTTATTTTTCTTATCTAATTGCATTGGTTAGTACTTCTAAAATAATGCAAAGTAATATGGCCTTTTATTTGTATCTTTGTTTCCGACATTAGTGCATATGCTTCTAGCATTGTCTCATTAAACATAATTTAAAAATTGGACTGGAATAGATAGATTTTTGGAATATTCATCTATTCAATATATAAATTTATTTTCACACATAAAATTTATTTTGTTAAAGTCTAAGTTGGATACTGAATTTAACCGATAGCCCTTTGTCACCTATGAGGATAATAAACTGTTTTTTCTTCCCTGGATATATTAATATGATGAATTGTATTAACAGATTCAATTTCTTCCATATTTTCCTGGAATAAATGCCACTTATGTTAAACTGTTTTATAATGTGCTACTAGATTCTGTTTACTAATGCTTATTTAGATATGCACATTTGTCTTTGTAAGAGACATGCATTTGCAGTGTTCTTTTTTGGGGTAATATATGTTTTGCTACCAATGTTATATTTGCTTTAGAAACATAAATAAGGGATCTCTCCTTCTTTTTGTATTCTGTGGACCAGTTTATGTACAATCAAAATAATATATGCTTTAAAGTTTTCATAAAATCTCCCTATAAAATTATGTAAACCTGGTGCTATTTCACATAATATCTCTTAGATAACGTTCTTTGTATTCTTGTCTACAGTAGTTATCTGTTTAGAATTTCTATCTCTTTTGGAGTGATTTGGAAAATTATATTTTCTTAGAATATTATGAAATTCAATCAGATTTTCACATTTATTTGCGAAGACTAATCTTTTAAATTCACATTTATTTTCACATTTACTTTCAAAGACTCATAAGTCCTTTAATTTCCTCTTTATCTGTGGCTCTTTTTTGTTATTCCTTAACTGTCATTCTGGTCTATTCCTGATTATGTTAGTAAATAGTTTAGTTGCCCCTTTCTCCCACAAAGAAGTATAGCTGTTGGATTTACTTATTTTTTTTTCCTGGGTTTTAATCAGTAAATTATGCTTCTTTATTAATGCCTTCTTCCTGTATTCCTTAAACTTCTTTTTTTTGCATTTCCTTACTTCATACTTGGATGTTTAATTTATTTATTTGTATTCTTTTCTGTTTTTTAAGAATACAGATATTTTTGGTTAACAGTTTCCCCCTGAACACTGCTTTAGTTTTATTACATGTATTTTGGCATGTAGTTTATTAAAGTATTTTAATTTTATTTTTATATTATCATTTTATCTTTATTTTTGTCATATCAATGAATTCAAATTGAACCATTGAGTTTGAACCATAACTTTTAAAGGAATAATTTAAAATTTCCAGATGGTAAGGGTGTTTTTCTCCCTAACTTTATTGCACTTTTAATAAAAGAATATATTTTTATTATTGCTACTTTTTAGAATTTATTGAGGTTTTCTTTGTGGCTTAATAAGGTTAATTGTTATTAATGTTTCAGGATCCTTAAGAAGAAAGTATATGTGTTCTAAAGTTTGGAATTATAGCTATATATAATTAAGCTCTATCTTGTTAACTGTATTATTTAGATCTTCTATATAATTATTTATCTTTTATTTATGTTATCTGTTTGAGTTAAAGCAGCTAATTAAAGTGTTCTTATCATACTTTCTGTCTATAGGTCATATACGTTCCAAATTCTGTTTTATTGCGTATTGATGCTAGTTTTTGGCTACATCGATGATCATAATGGTTTAACTTTTATTATGAATAATACAATTTAACATACTCCTTTTTGGCTCATTCACTTCTTGCCCTGATTTAAACCTGATTTGATATAAAGATCATTATTCTTCTTTTTTGTTTTCATTTATATTTGCCCACCTTTTATATTCAAAGTTTTTGAATTACTTTGATTTAGGTGTATGTTTTGTGTATGACACAGAATTATATTTTTCTTTTGCTTTGAGTTCCAATCTTTTAATGAGTTTGGTCCATTTACAGGGGCAATACCTTGTCTTGGTTCTGCTATAGTATTTTAGGTTATTATTTTTTATCTTTGTGATTTGTAGTTACTTCCTTATATGGTCTCTTTCTTTTACTCTGTGTGTTTGTATGCATTTCTTGTAATATTTAAGGAAGTATTTTATTGTTTCTATACTGTATACTCTCCAGCGTTTACATAATACTTAAGTTAGTGTTTATCAGTTTCGTAATATGAACAATGATGAGATTATTTCTTTCTTTTACTCATATTTTCTAATATTTTTCTTAATAGTACTTTTAATCTGAAACATATACTAATTCCTGTGAGTCCATTTGCAGCTTAAAATGATATTTTCTGTTTTTCAAATACCACAATGAGGAAATCAGCATCTTCTCCCAATTTTTTTTAGCAATCTTTTCACATAGTCAAGTGTGTAATATTTACATTTTGTTTTGTCATTCTAATCTATTTATTTTAGACCTAGTCCTTCAGCTAAAGTTATTTTGTGTTCACCACTAACTAGTCCATTTTTCAGTGTGTGTTTTTTTTTTTTTCAGTTGTTTTTCTATTTGGCTGAAGTTCACTCTCTTAATTTCAAGAATGCTTCATAAGAAGTATCTATTGAGGCCAAGTGTGATGGCTCACACCTATAATCACAGCACTTTGAGAGGTGAAGCAGGAGAATTGTTTGAGGCTAGGAGTTTGAGACAAGCCTGGGCAACATAGTGAGACCTTGTCTCTATAAACAACAACAAAAAAATTAGCTAGGCATGCTGGGGCACGCCTGTAGTCCTAGACACTTGGGAGGCTGA